TAGGTGGCAGCCTAGCATTTCGCTCATCTGTAATGTAATAAAGTGCTTAATTTAATACAGTATTTGTTTATATACAGATATATACAGATTATATATACATACAATATTAGAATATTTAAAGAGCGGTTGGCCATTTTTGGCGATTAGATTATCGTAGATTATTCTGGAATTCTCTAATACTTATCCTCGTAATTAAAATTGGACTTCCATTTTGTAGAAGAAGAACCACATTTATTTAATGTAAACAAAATATTGCTTCTTACTTCAATTAATTTAGAGGGAGTGCTTGTTGACCAATTAAGGATCAAGAAGGATAAAGGATCAAGAAGAAAGATAAGGACCGTCTTCGTCTCGGAGTAAGGAGCAGTGCAAAAGTTTTCGGTTTTTTGAAAAAAAAGCGGGTAAAAAGATGACAAATCACAAAATGTCTTGATAACGGGACTAACTTGGCGTCATGCTCTACTAGATGCAAGAGGTTTCATCCGGATTGGTCAAATCATCTACGCGTAATCGGTGAACAGATATTAAGAAAAAAAACATACATGTCGAATTGAGCAACCTCCTCCTTTTCGAAGTCGGTTAATAAATTAAATAAGTCAGTATTAATTTTGATGCCATGTTTATAAATAGTACTTCAAAACGCCTTATTAGCTATTACAAATGCTATCTACTTATATAAATATAATTATAATGTGTACATTAATTATGATTTTTTATAATGCAAAGTGCAAACGTTAATTGTTTCTGAAGGTTCAATTAACTACTTGGTACATCTAAGCCTTCGAATATAAGTAACCTAAAAATAAATCATTTAAAGACATTTAAAACATTTTCCAATAATTGTCAAATATACTTATAATCGCAATTCCGGTACAAGTACAATTTTTGCATAAAGTGTATCAGTCACAGTGAAATTCAAATTGTAGCACAATAAGGATTCGAAATACCAAGCACGGGTCGTGTAAGAATACTTGCTTTACCATTGTCTGAAAGTATTAGATCCGCCTCCGCAGTCTCCAGACTTAAATCCCATCGAGAATTTATGGGATAATTTGAATTGCAGGATACGGGATACGGGTGACACCAATACATCCGAAAGAAGAACTTAAAAAGAGATTAGCCGACGGAGGGGAACGAACAAGTCCAGAGTATCTAAAGAAAATTAGTCTCAATATGCCTAAACGATTAAAACGTGAAATGAAACAAGGGATCGAGTTACTTGATACTTTAAGCTCAAACATTAATTGTAAATAGTGTATAAAAGTGTAAATTTTGTATCATGTCCGAATATTTTTGTAATATGATATTTTGTAGTACGACAATTGAGTACTTTTTAATTTGAATTATTTAAATGTGTTATTCATAAATAATGTTTCGTAAACAATAATTTCCAGTTTATTCATTCTAAAATTAATTATGGTATACGGTGTCTAAGTGAAACGTACTGTATTGTTGATTATTTACGAACTATTGGAAAGTGAGAATGGAAATTTGAGCGATTACGTGGAAAGAGTTTGCGACAGTCAATAATTGGGATACTAGGGAGGTAATAATTGATAAATTCTATGAAACATGGAATGTTTATTTAACTATGTTTGCATATTTTTCTCAGATATAGTTTATGCAAACAAAAGATACGTAAAGACCTATGCATTAACCTAATACATACTTAATATGATAACGAAACATTATGAAATACGACATACATCAGGTTGCGACATATTGCATAAATGCGAAGGAATATTCGTCATTGTTAATTATATTGGTAAATATTGATATCCTTGAAAAACGTTAATTGAATCGTTGTCTTTTATATTATATTTTGTTATGTCATTGTACTCTCTTTGCCTTCCGGCATTTTGGTTAATTAATTTTCATTTCCTTTTCCTTCTCACAATTCAGCATCACATTTGTTTCTGTCGCTCATTACCTGCATAATTAATGTACCTTCCCACCACTCGCATTGTACTCCCGTCGCTTCCTTGCATCCACAAACTTGCGACAAAATCAGTAGCGTCGCTATGAGCATTTTGTGACCCGTTAAACAAGAAACTACTGTGAGCATCTGGTTTTATTTTTCATTCTTACGATGTTTCAAATAATTACCAAATAGGGTTTAATGAATTAATCAACCAATCCTTTCGTTTTATACCGAAAGAAAGAAGGCTACAAATATTTTTCCTTAAACTTAAATAAAAGTTACACATTTTTATACTAGATACTACCATTTTATTCATTTGTGATTCTATAACTATATTATCGGACAGAATGTCTGTTTGCATGTAATTATTAATAAAATATATTTTTTTGTTTGACGTCTTAAGATGACCAGTAGATGGTTGAAAATGTATAAATATGTATGTAGTGTATGAAAGATTTACTCAAAGTATACTCTGTGTTTTATGAGGCTAAAATTACTAAAAGAGTGCATAATTTAAACGTTCATGAAGAACCTGTATGAGAAAATGGATTTATTGCACTGGCCTGGAATAGCTGATTAATTAAAAGTTACAAAATATTGTTTATTATATGTTTAAAGCTGTTTTTCTCGAAATTACAGTTTTTTAGTCGGTGTTGACGAAATCTCTAAGAATAATAAAGCAATTAAAGGCTGAACAATGAAAGTTTCTTCAAATCTTAAGTTAAATGCATAAATTTCTCTGATAAAAGCCGTATTTTTGTTTCATTTGTTATATTTAAAATAAAATAAAATTTAATTTGTTATACATAGTATAAAAATCTGATAGAATTTTGTGCTTCGGATGATCCCCGGCCCTATTATTGTAAACACCGAGTATTTTCTTTTTTTTTACATACTCACAAACAGTAGCTTATAAATTATAAAATTTCTATGTTTTTCAATGATAAAAATTCGTATGTACTGTAGATAAACAAACGAAAAAACGTGATAAAAACTAACATTCTTTGTGTCTAATACTTTATGAGAAAAAAATCGGAATAATTTCTTATTTTCTGACACGACAAAGATGAAATCTTCATAAATAAAAAAATGTGATATTTGCAAATAAAATTTGTTTGATATCTAAAAAATTCTACAATGGCCTGCCTCCTTAAAATTACCGCTCTTACAATTAGATCGTTAGTGAAAAGCCCTTTTACTCGTGTATGCAACAGGGTTTAAAGGAACGCGTCCGAAAGCATAGTAAAAAATTACATGCAACGCGTAACAGATTCTCCAGGGAACGGTGATACGGATCACAAAGATTTGCGGTCCTTCTCGATAACAATCGTTATCGTTGGCATCGATCGCGCCTCGGGTTGCCTCGAAAACCGCTCTCGCAAAATAATTATCGCGGTCAAAAACAGCGGGTCCCCAGGGTGCGTAATTGCCGACACGCTTTAATTCAGCCGCACTTATCTGATATGTTAACCGGTCTGTAGCCTAACGTCGGCCAATTATGACGATGTAGATCAGTTTTATGCAGTATTTACAGTTAAGAAAAAAATTTTGGAAAACTTTTTTCTATCTTCGTGAAGCGTTAACCTCGTTTTCGACCTGTTCTCTTACAAAGTGTAGAAAAGCACGAAACCATTCGTTGAAAAAAAAAAACAAATATTTGAAAGGCTATACCTAAACATTATTGAGTTTTAATTTCCATAGGATAAGACTAAATAATTTTGTATTGCTCTTCTCTTTGTTTCTTTATATGCAACCGCTTGGCATAATTTTAAAGTTGTATTTACTCTGAATATGGTCCTCCTCCATACCGAAAATGTCGAAATAAATATTTAGAGGTCTACAAATATGAATGAGTTTAATTTAGGTGTACATGTATTGAACAAAACTAAATTGTTTTATATTGTTTCTTTCTTTGGTTCTTCAATCACCAACGTTTGGTTAATTTTAGAATTTTTTTTCTAAAAATAGCTTTGCCCGAGCCGAAAATAAATTCTTGAAACACTATGAACAAGAAAATGTTCAATACTTGAATGAATAATTGAAAGTAACTAAAATAATTAAATACAATTAAAACTAATTTTAATTTGGGTTTACTTTACCGGGGAGAAGTTCCACCCCTTGAGATCAGATCAAATAATAATAAGCAATTATCCATCGTATTCAATCGTCAGTGTGAAAATTAAATTTATTATATCTTCTAAATCTAAGGCAGTTCATTTGTTACATTTACTCGATTAGAAAGTTGTTCGGACAAGCTTTTACTCATTCGGTGTAAAATTTAGTTTAATTATTATATAGAGTAGAACGCAATTGTAGGAGTCTAAACGAAAAATAAGGCACGAAACTTCTTTGACTCTTTCATTCCTAGCTATAGGGCCGCGACCTACACAATTTTAACTGCATAAATATTGAATAGAGAACTTTTTATCTTCTATTCCCTATTCAATTTTTTATCTAGACAGGCGAGCGAATTTGCGAGACAAAGCTAGTTTACAAATAAATTTGTAATTTCTATTCATTGTGTAATGTATTCTAATGTGAATGTTGGATGAATGGTTTATATTTAAACCACTAGGTATGTTTGTATGTTTTATAGTTGTCAGTCATGTTTATCAATTTGTGTTAGTACTCTAGAGACGCGGTACATGAAAAATTATCCGTCACCGCGTATATAGGGTGTCCCAAAAGTCGGGGAGGAGTCGGAAATGGTGGGTAGCTGAGACGATTCTGAACAACAATTTCCTTTGCAAAAATGTCGGATGGGGCTTTGTTAAGGAGATATTAAGAGAAAACCCCGACCAATCAGAGCGCGCGTAGACCGTTGGAGCGGTCGCGGTAGCGTAGGCTACGCGCTAGCGGCCACGCTTGCACGCGAACAAGTGACTCGACGTGCATCGAAGCATCGACCTAGCGCAGAGGCTTTCGCTACCGCAGCCGCTCCAACGGTCTACGCGCGCTCTGATTGGTCGGGGTTTTCTCTTAATATTTCCTTAACGAAGCCCCATCCGACATTTTTGCAAAGGAAATTGTTGTTCAGAATCGTCTCAGCTACCCTCCATTTCCGGGACTTTTTATGTAGAGCTTGTGGAAATGAAGGGGGCCCATCAGGATTGGAGATTAACAAATTGCTGCCAGTAAAGTAAAATGTAGATCAATTTTCATTACAAGGTAAATTGTCAAAATCTGAATTGGCAGGTACCTTCATTCATACAGAATAGATCCATACCACTAAAGTGTTTGTAATTTAGACTTTTTATGTAGAGCTTATAGAAATGGAGTCATTTTCTCATTTCATCTTTAACATTAAAATTTCTTGCAGCAAGAAAGAAAATTGCAGGTATATATAATCATTTATAAACTGAACGAATAAGTGTTTATAATTAATAAATTATATGAAATATGTACATATTCGCTTTTGTTATCCCCTCTTCCTTTATTTTACTCTATCCAATTAAAAAAAAAAAACAAATTATAATTTAAACTTCTTATGTAGAGTTTACAGAAATATCAATTTTATTTTTATAAATTTAAAATAGATTCTATATAATAAATGATTTGTAAAAAGAAGTGAGATCCTATAAAAAAACTTCAAAAAAGTAAAAAAATTACCCCAAGTACATGAAAAAGTGGAGGACTCAAGGAGTTATCATTAAAAAATAGAAAATCCTCATACAAATACTACAAGAAAGTAGAAAAAGATGTGAAATCGAAATGAGCTGCCAGATGCTTTGCCTAGATTTCCGCGGTCTGGAAAAAAAAAGAAAAAAGGCATTCTTAGATCATCAATACCCATACTTTCTCTCTCACAGACTTTCAGATAATTTGTCAATTTAAAACTCTGACAATATTATGAGTACACTTTCATTATTTTGCGTTTTAATATAATTTTGATTCATCGACACCTTGACCTTATCTGGCCACGCCAAGCATTTGACTTCCAGGCAGCGGAAATCTAGGCAAAACATCTGGCAGCTCATTTCGATTTCACATCTTTTTCTATTTTCTTGTAGTTTTCTATGGGGATCTTCTATTTTTCAATGATAACTCCTTGAGTCCTCCACTTTTTCATGTACTTGGCCTAATTTTTTTACTTTTTTTGAAGTTTTTTATCGGATTTATTGATTAGTCATTCAATTTGTATTGCGATTTGATTTTGTCTGTTATATTGTGTGTTGTCATTCGAATTTTGACAATTTTCGCCGAACCTCTAAATAAATATCCTTACAATTGTTCGAAATAAAATGTATCCAATTTCGTTCCCCTGAAACGGATGTCTAACATTGTATGGCATAATTATTAGGGGAAGCGAAAAAGTTTGAGGTCAAACGTTACCTCGTCCCACGCAATTCGATGGCGAACGATTCACACGTGGTTGAACGCTCGCCTTTCCGGATGCGGCACATTTCACGCTGCCGACTTTCGGAATATGTACGTTGAAAAAGCCTCCGTTGATTAATAATCATGCTGAATGGCTAGAACAACGATATTTACTTTAAGCCTGGCGTCTTCGTCTCCTTTCTTCTTTCTTTTGCCGTCGTAACAATGCTCGCACGCCTCAGAAATTCCATGCTTCGTGGCCAGAAAAGTTGTACACAGAGAACAGGTGCAGGAAGTCTCTCTGAGTCATTGTATTTTACGTGACAGAGCAGTGCTGTTTGCACTAAAACTAATGCCATTTGCGGCCAAGCGTTGCGTGATTTACGGAAGACAAGATTAGGAAAGGACTTTGCGTAGCATTTAAAATGTCAAACGTTCGCATCTAAACATTTAACGTTTTAGACGAGCAATATATTGTCGTTGTAAATTCATTCGTGGGAACGCATCTTTATTGTAATTTAATTAATTACAATTAAAAAGAAGTTAATAATAATAAAATCATAATTGAACAGCTTATTTATACGAGGTGTTGCACAACAAATACAAAATTTATAAAAAACACATTTTTCTGATAATTCGTTTAACCATAGATTTTTAGTATAAAATAGATTATTATTATCACAAAATGTAGATGGTCAATTGTTTGACTTAATTACGAAAAGATGTAAGATACAATAACAAGCAGGTATAAACGTAAGATGTCTTGACAATTACAGAACGAGATAACGCGTATAATGATTGATGATAATTAAATGACTAAAATAAGTAGAGCATATGACACATCAATTTTGTCTTATTTCTTGCTGGTATAAACAACTATTACAACTAAAGTTATGAAAGAAAATCAACACTTACTATCCTGTGATCATTGCAGTTTTAAATATCTAAAAGTATGTGATCTGTACGATTACTAACATAATTACCTTTTGTGTTGCATAATTGTTTACAGAATTAAAAATCCTATTTCTTTTGGTCATGTGAACAATTATCATTACTTTTAAATTAAACATGCTGGATGAAAGTTTTTAACAAACATTTGTTACATTGTTCGACATTTTTTGTCAATTTAAACATTTCCTTGTAATATAGTAAAAAATATTTCATTTCTGTTAAAACATCATCTTTTATCTCTAACCGTCTCCGAGTTACCATTTTAAATGATTTATATTATTTTTCTTCTGGGAAGATTGTTATTATATTTTACATTGTAGAAATGGTAAGTCAGAAGATGTTCGAGGCGGATATTTTGTTTTCAGATGAAAATTTGAGTTCAAATAACTTTTCTATCCTGATAACAGATTTTTAACAATAATTACATATATTTATTTGATGTTACGATTTAGCTTGTTTATGCTATTGAAAGTCAATTGCAAAATAAATTTTTAAAAAGTAGAATGTATAACACTTATATAAGTAATAAGGATTTCAGATCATGATTTCTATTTTTTTTTCACACAAAAACATAACATCAAGTATCTGATAATTTTATGTTTATAAAATTTTCATTCTCCTTCAGAACTAATTGATTCTTTCTTCATATTTTGCAATTTTGATTCGATTCTAGTCATTATTTATTGCATAATATTTTTGCAAATCAGTTAATTCTAGTTTATAATATAAAAGTGTTTTTGGTAATACGTTTCTGAACCTTTCTTTGAAAACTCTTTACTACAAGGTATTACAGATATATGAAATGTATTCGATAAATCTTACAGTAGTTATAGTCTAGTCAACTATAAATCAAATGATCTGAACATCTATACTAGATGATGCCAGAAGTAGCGAACTCGAAGTTGGTCGAACTTGGTTTTCGTAGGATGCACGCTTTTGTGGAATCGCTGAGAAAAGGCTATGAAGTAGGCGTGCAATTAACGGGGTCAAGTGGTACAAGCAATACAATACCAGCGATGACTGCTACATGGTTTCTGCATTAGATCGACACGTTCTTCATTAACAACAATAAAGAGGGCCCCAGGAAACTACGCTTCCTTCAACGAGTGTCAAAATCCGGCGTCGGTGAACGATAACGCGGCTGCTTCGCTGAGATAGCGAATTATTTTCTGCAGAGGGTTTCCATTATGTGTATTTACTGTCGAGTGTTTCGTTGATTGAAACCAGTGAACGGTTTTCAGGCAAGATTTAAGACGCTGTGAGGGATAGGACCTCGTAAATAGGTCGATAGCGTTTTAAAGCTGACGGTGTGTTATGTTACCAGCTAGCAGTGCAGCTGTCTATTTCCTATCTTTAATGTCGATGAAAAATTTCAAATATTTGTTCTATGAAATTAAATCAGAGTCAATTATTTGTAAATGAAATATATAAAACAATGTTCTAGTTTTTAACCGACTTCGAAAAGGAGGAGGTTACTCAATTCGACATGTATATTTTTTTTTAAGGACGTTAGCCAATTACGCCGAGATAACTTGAGCAATCGGGATGAAACCTTTTGCATCTTGTAGAGTATGTCCCTCAGTTGGTTCTGTATCCAAACATTTTGTGATTTGTCATTTTTTACCCGTTCCTTTACCACTTTTATCGCAAAAAGAGTACTGTTTCACGTATGTTCGGCCTAAAATCGATGAAATCGATGACACCCCTTACATTTTGCTTTTATGAATTTCTTAATGTTTATAACAATTGTTACGGCAACATTCCTATTCTTTCATGTAACTCGTCAAGGAATCTACTGATCGAGTGTTCCACATTTAATGACAGCTGATTTCATGATGTTCCCATTTGTAAAAATTTATGGATTATGGAATTTGGCAGAGGAGGGGGGGGGCAATATTGCATACAGTTAATGTGTATCCTATCTACACCAAAATACTGTTTGAATAGGTTTGGGATAGTATTTGGTGGGGACGGCAATATTGAATAGTGTTAATGTATTCAGGTATACTGTCTACGTGAAAATATTGTCTGAGAAGGTTTTACGTATTTATTATGGGGATAAGGAGGGAGCAATATTACATACAGTTATGAGTATACTGTCTGAGTAGGTTTGTGATAGTATCTTGTGGATTAATGTATATGTTAATGTATATGATGACTAAAGTAGATATTACGATAGCAATAAGCTATGGTCATATTTTTTGTCCCTCCGGCAGAACGTTAAACCAAGTTTGGCCATTTTGAATGTAGGTAATTTTAAATTTTGCGCTGCCTCCGAAAAGGTTACATTTTATTTAATAGTCTGTATTTAATAATTTAACCAAATTCGTCACGACCTGGTGAGTAATAATGCAGTTTAAATAGAAATTATTTCATACTTTTCACTGCATTTCGTCATACCTTTAAGCAATTATATCTAGAGCTGGTGAGTATTCGTATAAATTAACTAGAAATTATTTCATACTTTTTAGTGCAGTTTTAATATTTTTCGAAGTCGGTTATATTTTGTTGTCTAAAAATTATTTTATCTTACAATTACTGTGCAAACGTGAAGTATAACGCAACTGTTATATTTATCGCTAGCTACGGTAGCCCAGAAAAAATACACAAAAATTAAATTAACAAGAAAAAATACGGAAAAGTGTTAAGGTTATCAGCCGTGTAAATGATCGAAAATTGGCTGAACATGAAACGCAACACAGTGGTGTAGATAACAATATCTCTGTAATAGAACCCATTTCAAACAAATTTTTTCAATGTCCATGATATTCCTATAAGTCAGAAAAGCATAGAATCGACGATAAAGACAAATCGAATCAAAGTAATTTTTATAAAGTAAATTTACAGCATGGCTGCTAGGTCAGGCATCCAGATATGGGATTGCTGGGATTGACAAAGTG